GCATACATATCTAGACCATGACACAAACCCTGTATGATGTCGGCGGATTTTTATTCGTATTATCTTCGGACTATTCCATTTAAAGCCATCTGAATGACTCTATTTCATATGAATCGCACGTATGTTGCACATTGTACATTACAGCGATATGTCAACAAGTGTTTATCTAGCTTGACATATTCCGATCCCTACGTACTTATCCGTTCAGGGAAGATATAGAAAATACACATGCATAAAAGAATAAAGTACTCCGCACACAAAAGAAAAAGCAAAGAGGTTGTCCATGCTCCAGCTCGGAGATATTCAGTCCGGGGTTGTTCTCGGAAAGTCTAGCCCAGACTGGCATCGCCTTGGCACCCGTGGCCGACCCCGGGGGGCCAGTTCGATCCTTCTGGTTAACTCAACCCATCACCTTGATATCATATCCCAACACAATGTCGTCAAAGAAAGATATGCGCAGAGCTGATCTCGGTGAGTGGAAGAGGAATTGCTTCGAGCCTTGGCTCATCAAAACTAACGTTGAAAAGTGATCCCCTACGTCGATCCACCCAAGAGCAGCAGCGATGCAGATATCTCCAGTACGCACCATCTTCGTTGTTTCGACAATGGCACGCTTCAGTGCGAGGATTATGAAGGCTGATTGAGCTATGCAACAGGCACAATGTCGAGCACTATGCCCATGGCGGCTGTAAGTTGTGGCCCAACATCTGACCTTGCGATAACTTGACCCTGACCTCGATCTTTCAGATGTTTACTCGGAACCGGTGAGTCGCGCATCTTACACGAGTTATAGACAGTATTGACGAATGTCGCAACACAGCATGATCGGATGGTAAGAGCAAGGCGAGCAGTCAATGGTTTGGCTAGGTTATCTGACTCGGAAATAGGGTATCCTTCGTCTTCTCACTTCAGTCCTGGCTGGGTGAATCCGCAGAGCAGAAGAAGACTGCTTCTACACCGGCCTACATGTCGGTTCTCATGTCCTGTTCGTTTCTCTCCGTACCCCTCGTGTTTGCAGGACTAATCTTATGGCGCGTTATAGTGATGGCATTGGTTGTCGTATGTTTTCCGAACCCACTAAATTGCGATGCGCCCAGCTTAACAACCCCTTTCAGACCTATTTCCCTCTCTTCTTGCCTCCGCAGGCTCCAGGGGGCACCACCGGTGCCTCCGCACCGACTCCGCTGGCCTCTTGAACGCCCGATCCTCCTTGATATCCACCCACATACCTATCATAATCTTCACGCAGTCTTATCATGTGAAATACAAGAATTAATTGTTCGCGGGTCATCGGATTCCAAGTCCGGATTGAGAGATCTCCACGGTTATCTATTGCTGTCACGATGTAGCCATATTCAAGCCGAGTTCTGCCCTTGTGATCAGGAATCAGCCTGTCTCCACCATAGTTGCCACCAATTATTTGCTAGTTTAAAATAGATATTGTATATGATTTCCCCTTAATATGTAGTTCTTGCGCGCTCCTCCAGGGGGGCTTGATGCGCGAGAATCGCTTAGTCATACACCGCCTACCCCACAACGTGACCCTTGCCTCAAAAGGCTCTGCCACTTCTTCTCTCGTTCTTCAACCACAGCACCTCTCTGCTAACCACGCACGCTCCGATCTTTTACAGAGATATTGAATCTCGTCCTTCGCTCACTCCATCAATACCCATTTTAAACGCCGTTTACTACGAAAAGGCCGAGTTTATGTCCATCGAAAACCTCAAGACCTTCGGTAAGTTCGCCACCATTCCCCTCCTGAGCGCGTATCGGGCTTCAACCCCCACCCGCACGCATATCCACAGCTGTGATGACTATGTATGCGGATGGCGACATATGCCTTTCGTCATGTGTAGTGCGCGCTGTATATTTCAGCTCTCCCCGCCTGTGTTGCACCGAGTCTCACGACGGCGGGGTAGAGATTTGATACTGGGCTGAGACTGACATGTGCATATTACAGACCCCTTCGCCGAAGCCGACGAAGATACCGGCGAGACTAAGCAGTCTCAGAACTATATTCACATACGGATTCAGCGTACGTTCACTCTCCTCTCCTCACCTCCTGTCCTCACCGCCCATGGCTGCTCTTGCGATTGCCGGCGCTTAAAGGGGGGGCACATGCTAACTCCTTATTCCACAACAGAACGCAATGGTCGCAAGACTCTGACCACTGTTCAGGGTCTTCCCAAGAAGTTCGACCAGAAGAAAATTCTCAAGGTCATCAAGAAGAAGTTCGGTATGTCTCGTGACCTATGCATACGTATGTCCGGGTCAAATGCTAACTATATCCTAGCTTGCAATGGCACCATCGTCTCTGACACCGAGATGGGCGAGGTGATTCAGCTGCAAGGAGATCAGAGAAAGGATGTCCAGGAGTTCTTGACTGACAAGGAGGGGCTCGAGCTTGATGCCAAGACCATCAAGGTATGTCGCTGCCCCAATACGTCCTCCGTCACCATTACCAGTTCTAATCTGTCATATTTTAGGTCCACGGGTTCTAATCCCATCACCAACATCATGCCTCGTTCCCGTCCCCTCTTCCCGGTTTATGTTGCCCTGTGAGCGGTGGGATAGGAAGCATCCTCATCCGCCGGCCGTATACAATATACATACTGGCCTTCACATCGATCGAATGTCTTGCTTTCTCCCCCCACCACTCTGTGCCTGGCGTGTTAGACCTGGGCCCTTCGTCGACATGACCCGCTACACCAGTGTGCCCCCGCCTATCGTTGTCACATGATTAGCAGGGAGCGGGGTGGATCGACTGCTATTTTAGGACGGGATTATGACGGAACGAGGAGTTGGTAGATACCCAATATCTGCATAGACAGACAACATTTTTTTTATCGGCTTGCGTGTTTTCCATTCTTTTATCCCTGGAGAAGGGGTTGCCTTTGCTTGTATTGCTAATTACCATTGCATTCCCATGGTCAATTTTGTCAGTCTGGCTAATCGAGGAGATCCAGGTTGAACTAATGGCGTGCTATTGCTGAATCGTTTTCTCGGTCTCTACCGTCTACTTTTAATATTTGTGCTGTTCTCGCTCTTTGTTCTTGCGACAAGGAAATTGAACTGTTCTCGAGTATCATCCTCCAGCTGATGCAGCAACATAGAGTAAATTCGAGATAGGAACTTGCTCTCTCAGTCTATGTTTAAGAGGGTGCGCGTTGTGAATCAATCAATAAACAAAAATAATAGATAAGATCTATCAAAGATCGCCATGTCTGAAAAGAAAAACTTCCCTAGGCCAGGGGTATCAAGCGCAACAAAGTACTCTTCCAGTACTTTGGCTAAATCAAAATCACAATCAGATCCCAAAAATGTACAAATCATGCAGCCTGCCAGCCAATAACGCTTGCCCAAACTGTGGAAACCAACTCTGCAGAATATCCGGAAACAGAAAAAGCAACAAAAGTCCAACAACCAACAGGCAAGTAATCAAGCTATAGCTCTCCCATAGGAATACGGTCATCCGCAATTCGCATGCGCAGGAAGATGGCCACAGCCCAGTCCCAAAGTTTGCGGGTAATGACGAAGACAGGCACTTCTGGTTCGTTTTCACGGGTCAGATGCAGCTGCATGAGGAGCGAGGACATGCTTAGGAAGCTTGCGACGGAAACGACTAGTAGCGATGCTGCTGTTTCGCGTTTGATGGTTGCATGGTTTTGCGTTGCGTGGTAAACAAATGTTAAAGACTAGGCGAAGGGTCAGTGGCTGTTGCAAGGTCGATGAACAATTGGAAGTCAATGTAACGTACGGTTGTTATGGAGATCCAGGCTGGTAAAAGGAGTCTAGGGTCAGAGGATGCACCAGATAGGTAAAGGACCCAAGAAGTGATATATGCAATCAAACCGTTAGTTGTAAGAAGACGAATCACAACGGCTGGTGGTGTGTAGTTTAAAAGCCTGAGTATATCACAGATTAGCATTATGGACATAGTGGGACGTCAAGGGTTGAGAAAACCAACCAACGGGACATCATGCAATCAGCAAAGAAATAGGAAAGATATGCGGATGCACAGCACTGTCAAGTAGTCAGTATAAGAGTAGGCCGTTGGAGGATAGCATATCAAGGGAATACATACCCACATAATAGCCAATGCCACCTCTGTCACACGAAATCTCCTCTCAACATCCCATTCCTGTCCAACACTACCAACAATCGCCGCCGCCCACCCCTCTCGTCCCATACCCGGCCTTATATGCAGCAATTCGGCGAGGAAGGTAAAAGCGCATCGCAAACCCCACCAGGCAGCAGGAAGCGTGCTCAGAGCCCGACATACCAGCAGGGGAATATACCACCTGCGGTCCACTCCGAGGATGACAGCAACCCGCGGGTGCAGTGCTGACTTGGGGCCATCGCTGCTGGGTGGAGTATGGGACGAGGAAGTCGGGGAAGGCGGGACAGTCGAAGCAGATGGAGAAGCCACCTCTTTAGGCAGTCGGCTTTGTAGTAGTTCGGGGGAATTGCTGAGGTAGCTGGGCGGACGAGCCGGTCGCGTGAGATTCAGGTCTGGAGCACGGTGTGGATGTTGTGGATAGTCTCGGGGGGTGTATGGTGGAGGAGAGGCATTACGTCGAGGAGGAGCCAGCCTTTATTCTGAATCGCGGCATATGCGGCCGCCACGCAAGGAAGGGAAGGGGTATAGGATGAGTATTACAATCGAGTCGTGAGCTCTCGACAAAAGATTCAAAATTGGGTTGTTGTCAAGCCGTTTGCGAGTCCCCTAATTGGCAGATATCAGACCCCAGTGTGTGGCGGGCGGTGTCTTTTTCGGAGGCAGTTTAATTTTATATGCTCGACTTCGTTTTACATATGACAGTGGGATTGAAGAAACAGCGAGGAAGATATAAGCTGTAGCCTCGATAAGAGGGCGCTTCGTTCACAAGACTCCCGGGGAGCTACTTGTTGCTGTCGACCGCAGTGATTCACGTGACTGACAGTTCCGCGGGTTTCATTCTTCGGCGAGGAACCACTTCTCTTACTCAACCTGAATTGCAATGGCGTCTACCATAAGATTGCCCGCGGGCACATCCGCTCGGATTGTCCCATCTGGTTCCTTTGTACAATGTCGGGCCTTCTCCGAGACCTCCCAACAATGGCGTGGGAGACAAATGAACTTCCGTCCTCCAAGCCAAGTGCAGCCCGCCTTCAAAACCAGAACCCAGGGCATGAGAATAGCCGATCTGCCAAATGATATCGGCATATTACCAGGTACCTTTGTCCGACCGTTGTGGAGGGACATGCCTTCGATTTTCAAGGCACCGCGTGATAGGTGGCATATGGAATGGACATGGCTCAAGGCCTGGCTGAGCAACCATGCCAGGTTAGTTATCCTCGAATTCTCGGACTGCTCGGTACGCTCTGGCGGTTACGCTGATCAAGAGCTGCTTATGCTATATACTTACAAAGATGTCTTTCCTAACTATATTCCAGTCTGCTCCAATACTGCAAGCGCGAAAATACCCTTCCTCTTCTCCTAGGCAAGCGGCGCCATTTCGCCGCAAAGCTTCATAATGATGCGTTTACAGCATTTGCCGAGTAAGCATGAGTCTTTTCTCCCGTTTAATTTTCAGCGGGACTAACCGCTATGAATTGTTATAGAGGCAACATCCCTAAAATCCGCCAGATCTGCTGCGACAATCTCGCCAAGAACCTCAGCACAGCTATCGAACGCCGCCCAAAGAATGAGCATTTAACCTGGAAACTGGTGAAATACCTGCGTAAGCCCAGCACAAACTTCACGGGTCTCCGCGTCATCTCAGATCGCGCAACATCCATCCCCGATATCCCGAAATCCGGCATTCGTCAGATTGTTGTGCGCATCACGAGCCGACAGGCTACGACTCGGACCCAGAAATCCAGCGGGAAGGGACCTACAGAAGATGTCACCGTCGACAAGAAGGAGCAGGACTGTACCGAGCACGTTGTCATTCAGCATCTCCGCTGGAACAACCAGGATAAGGGCTGGAGAGTCTGGGGCAACATCACCCCCACCACATTGCATGATGCTTGGACTAATCCCTACTTCATGCCTGGGTTGTCGGCCCTCGAGCGTCTGGACATGATCAAGGACTCGATGGGCAAGAAATAAATTTAAGTCGCATCTCAAACTGTGATTTGTATTTCTTTCTGTCAGAATGATATCTGCGCATTTGGAAGACTGCGACTATAAGATCCGCACAGACGAGACTATGACCGGCCAAGGGTTTTCTGACCTACCATTTCATTCGATCAACAGCGAATAGGTTTGACAGAATATCCTTTATTTCACCTTCTTGTCTAACAACTCCTCGTTTGGGCCTAACATTGGATAGAGGCTCAGGTCAGCTTCTCTTCTGGTCCGTTCTCTTCCTCGCCACGGAAAACCCTTGATATAGAAGCATTTACACCTCCCTATGTACCATAGCCACCTGTTTTGATAAATTCTACCTCTTTTTGAGCCGTCACCTGTATAAATGAATATCAATCTCTCAATCTCCTTCCTGTGACCTACTACTTTCCCTACCATGTACTCTCTGGATTTAAGCTTCTTTGGTACGATTGCCCTGACTCTAGAACAAATACCACCAAGAATATGCGGCGTCCTACTACTGGCAGTATACTGTATACTTTCTACCAATGTAATACCAAATACGCCAATATATGCATTCCAACCTGACATCATCGGTAACACGATTATACGTTGCTAAAGTCAAAACTAAGGACTAGCCAGGATGTATATATACAATCGGAAGGCACAAAAGCAGTTTTTAACGTGTAGCACAGGTATCACTCCAAGAACACAAGAACAAGAACAAGACGTACGAATGAATAAGAAAAAGAGGTACAAGAGAGCACCGGGAAGCGACGCATCATCAAAACATTATACGTGGGTCCGCGGACCAACGTTCATATCCCAATAAAGAAACAATAAAGAAACTAGGAATGGGCCGGGGGCGAATTGATCTAATCGTCGTCGAAGATCTGGAATGTGTTATTCAGGATCGTCTCGACGACACGGACTTGCCATGCAGCGTCGGCGATGCTGCCGCCGGAATTAGCGCCCATAAGGGTGGGTCTATAGCGAGAGTTAGCGAGTCTGTATCTGATAGCATCCTGTTTATATATGTAGGATGTGGACTGTGCAAGGACATACCCGAAGCAAATGGCTAGATTGCCCGCGTTCATGCGGTTCTGGGTATAGTGTTCTTGGATCTTGTTGAGATGCTGTAATAGACTGTATTAATATCTGATGGAAATAGAGATCGTGTTCTTGGGGATCGTACCAGAATGATGGCCCGGAGGGTAGCATAGTGAGCATCGGGCAGACTGTTAATAAGGGCGTGCATCGAGTCTCGGCGTTGGATGTCATCGTCGAAGCCTGTGGTTTCATTGTCAGTTTCTCAATACGGGATTCTCTTCATGACGTGAACGCTACTTACGGGCGGCATCGACAAACTGCTGATAGAACTGAGTAGTGAACAGAGGGTCCGGAAGGTCCCTGAAGAATTGCTTCACAAGTCCTGCAACACTGTTGACATCATGGTAAAAGTTCTCCGGGTTTGTGAAGTCGACTTGGGATGAGTCTGTTCATGTGAAATTAGGTTAGCAAGCTGCCCATCTCATCAACTGTGCGATCAAGCTTACCATTGTCAAAGATGGCTTTCATGTGACTGATATGATTAGCACTACCCGAGAGTCGGTAGATGCCCTCCATATCCAGACCGAACAGCTCGATTGCTTGGAAGCACTGGTACACAATGAACGGAACTGCCGTTCCATCCCGGGCGTACAGGTCGTTCAGCGAAACACCGAATACTGGCTTCAACGGAGGAAGATTTGATTGGAGACTCCGGTCCATTGGAGGAGGTCCGGCCATTGGCACCGGAATCATGGGTGCAGGTTCCGGAGCAGACGGTACCGACACTGGGTAGGGAGCTGTACCCGCTGGGGGCGGGGTGAAGGTCTTCTCCGGCTGGGGAGCATAAGGTGTCTGTGGCTGTGGCAACCGATCACCGCTCTGCGGTGGCTGAACCACCGGCGAGGTGACATTATTCGAGGTGAATGCCGGCAGTACGGTTGACCCGCGCCTATTTTGAGTCGTTGGCTGCGAAGCTGCCGCAGACGCAGAAGAAACAGACCCACCACCACCGAGTGTCTACTCAATGGGTTAGTATCGTGAAGCAATCGAGGGACAATGCAGGACTTACAGGGTGGCGCTCGTATTTGACAGGTTCGGAAGCCACAGCCCCCGGGTTGCCTTCATGGCTTAAAATAAACTCATGGAGATCTTTCTGGTTATCGACTTGGCGAACAACATCGGCAAGGCTCTTAAGTCCTAATGCCCCGCTCGCATCGGTCTTCAATGGGCTGACGCAAAGACCTTGGCCCAGAAGCAGTTTCTCGCTGAAAGTAGCTGCAAATAATAAGCCGATGAACTGAACAAGAAAGCCACCTACGTAGGAAGGAATTGCACATACCAAACTTCTGCTGCTGCAGGGTCAAGCCCGAGTCACATTCAGCGATCAACTGCTGAAGATTGTGTACAGCCTGAGGTCGGTGCGTAGACACCAGCTCCTGGCGCGCCGTCTGCGCCGCCTGAACCTTAGACCCATAATCGCTATCCGCGTGCTGGACCTTGCGCAACAGCTCCTCCTCGTGCTGCGCCGCAGACTTGTGGCCCTTGAGACCGAACTTTCCACCCTGCTTGTCTCCCGTGCGCACACGGTCATACTGCTCCGCCAACGACTCGTACTTGGCCTTTGCCTTCTCCGCCAGCGATTCCGCATCGACGACTTTCTTCTCCGCAGCTAACCCCGTCTGTTTCCATTGCTTGCGGCCGCGCTCGATGTTGCCGGCAAGCTCGTGCAGGTCGTCGGACATCTGGTGGAGGGAGACGGCGAATTGGAGGCCATGGTCGACCATTCGCTCCTGGATTCGGTGGATGTCCTTGTAGCTGGAACTGTACGTTCCTTGTCGGTTGTCGGTGCGTTGCGCCACATCGCTGATCACGCGGGACAGTTTTCGCAGCCCCTGAGCGTGCTCTTCTTCGAGGGAGCCTCGCTTTTTCAGGAAGGTTGAGAAATCCTAGTAGATATTGTGTTAGCATTCGCGATCGTCGCGGGAGTCCTTTCGCGACTACTAACCCTGGCGGAGGCCACGCTTTGCTTCAGCCGTGTCAGGAGTGTGGTTATCCCGATCTACTCATGATTAATATAATTGCGTCTTTGTTTAGTATGCACCTGAAGGTGGATTCTTTGTGTCTGCTCACATCAGAGTAGATAACTTTGTCTAGGCGGGCTTTCAGCTCGTCTGAGATGGCCTCGTGGGTCGGCTGGGTCTGCTCGCCCCCGTGGCTAGGGGATGAACGACCGGCGCTCGACGGAGGCGCATCATGCGTTAACGTCGAATCGTGTAGGGCTTGATCCGACATGGAAAGGGTCTTGACTCGTGTGAATGTCAAGAGAGAGAGTTAAATAGAGGGGGGTGGGACGGAAAGCCTCACGGGCCACTATTAATGGAGTGGCAGATCAAAATGAGGTCCAGGCACAGGAACAGGGAATGCTGCAGCCTTCTGCAGTCTCAATTGGGCTGAAACGTGGTGAACCTGGCGGAATGTCTTAGTATTCTAGTGGTGTTCTTGGGGTCAAGACGTAATTGCGGGTTCGGCCAAGTGGATCTTGGGCTTCATTGTACGTATGGAGTGACCTCAGTGTACGTGGTATGGTGAACTAGTGAGCTCTGCGTATTTACAAGCTTAATACACAGGAAAAATCACTTTTATTCTGGTATCGTCGCTAGAATCAAATATCAACATATATACAAAACATCCATGCCAGTAACTCGCATCTACAAAACCGGAGGTGCGACGAAAGAGTCGGGAATACCGTCAAAGACCCAATTGAGAGAATCAAAGACTTCCGAGAACCCAGATTCGCTGAAAAATGCTCCGCCTTCGTCAAACTGAGCTGGCATCATCAAAGATTGATCCTCCAGGGAGCTATCATGTTGCCGCGTCATATGTCCTGACGGACCTAGTATATCTTGATTCGCTGCTATGGCGGCAGCTGCAAAAGGAGATTTTGTTAACAGCCGGGATAAAACAAATAAGGGGGGAAAAAGCAAAGAAACTTACCTTGCATCTCTTCGAGGCTTCTCACCGGTCGGAACCGTTGTCGCCAACGCCAAACCGTGTCGTACACATGACTCATGCTCATCCGGCAGCGGACTTTAAGCTGTAGGGCATCTTCTTCGGCAGGTTCTAGACTCGTGGCATTCCACATCTGAGCGAGAATGTCTGCAAGACGAATGGGACGGTCGTGATCCATGACACTTATTCGGCGAATTGCTGAGATCGCGCCGTTGAACAGTAGCTTGCCATGGTTGAAATCGAGGTGTCTACTGAAGCTGCTCTTCAACAATTTCATCAGAGCGAAAGCAGCCGACACAATCATTTGAAGAATATAGTTGGTGGAGTGACCGATCAATTCGCCTGGCGATGTTTCGAGATCTAATACTCGACTAAGGAAGGAGGTTGTCGCAAGGAAAAGCTTGATAAGATCGTCACTTCGCGCAGTGGATCCTAAAAACATGAAATATCGGAAGTGTAGTTCTGCAGCTCGGAGATGGATCGTATTGATTGCTTGGAACTAGTGTCAGCGTGCCAAATTGGAAAGATACGAGATTAACTCACCAGAGATCTTTCCTTCAAACTCGACATCCATGTCTCTGAGTTCGCATTCCAAAACCTGCACAACCACGAGCTTGTCGGCGCTAATAAACTCCCCAGGTTCGGGTTTACTACTGTATAACGCCTTTGTCACCCGGTCGCAGAACTTCTCGATACGCAACCGAATGACCAGGTCTTCAGGAAGTCGGTAGTCGGCGTCCCTCAAAGAGGCAGGCTCAAGGGCCCAGTCGTATATTGTACTCGGTGGCTGGCCGTAACCAGTCGCAACACTGCCGAATCCTAAATCAGTCTATGACAAACGGCCATATAAAGGAAACACCCACTTTTGAGCCACGATGTTACAAATGACCCACGTATGTAGTCGATCCTTTAGGGCTTCACCTTGAACTTCCATGCGGAAAGTTGTGAACTCTTCCGCTTGAACCGGACGGTGTAGCCCAAGCTGCATGGCAATTTGCATCATCAAGCCACTGAGCATGAAGGTTGCATCGGTGCGCTGGCTTGTAGTCGGAAGTGGCCATGTACACAGAACGCAAAGGGCCTTGACCACCCGGTAGTCTTGCGGGACACTAGTAATGGTTGCCCAAAGCAGTCTGCTGAATGGTCCGGACAGTGCGCTCAAGAGCCCAGGCTCATATTGAGACCGTCGACTCGCAACACAGATCATAGTCCACGCCAAAAGAGGGCATCGATTGAGATACACCTCTGGGGGCTTGGGTGGATTCAAAAGAGGAAGAAAGGGGTGGTAATAAGTGAAGTATCTATACAGATGTCAATCATAGAAACGGGCCAAGTAAATGGGTAGTGCATACTGTTCGAATAATCGAAGAACTCGGGCTCTAGAGAGAGAAACATCTTCCAGTCGCCATTGGCCCTCATCCTGTGATACAATAGAACCATCCCTTTTCATAGTCAAAGGGGTTGCTATAGTTGAATGAGATTCAATTGGCACGGAGACAGGTCGAGATTGGTCAATCGCGGCCGAGTCACGGCGAGCAAAGACATCCTCTGAGCAATGGGACATTTCATCACCAGGCTCATGAGACTCTACACCTTGCTCTTGATCTGAATTGGGTCCCAGACGGCGGCGGAGATCAGCAATCTCCTTTTCCATTTCAGCATTGCGCCTGTGAAATGGAGTCAATAAGATGAGAGAGAAGACGAAAACCAGACAAAAAAAGTTACCTTCTCTTAGAGATGCGCTTGAACGACTGTTCAACTTTACAGTCTATCCCAAGCCGGCGACAGCGCGAACAGGCCGCCGCTGGCGTTTGAACAATATCACACCGCAGCTTTCAAGGTTTAGAGACATCAGCGCGATTGTCGGAGACCGGATGCGGTTGGGGTTGATTTTGGGTAAAATCGCATAGTAATTATATGCACATGACTCACCTTTTGCTGCTTACATTCATTACAGGCTTTTCGGCTGCCACCTCGGCGTTTGCCCGTGACAGGCGGAGCCTTCTCCATCTCGCAAGATTCCGAGCTTGTCTGCATGAAATCGATAACCGGGGGTGGCCGGGGTAGAGTGGGGGACCGAAAGTCGGTCGGGGGGATTGAATAGTGCGGCCCATCCGGTGCCAGTATGTTCCGATACCCCAAATCCATGGAGATCAGCCTGCGTTCAGCCGGTATAAAACCCCACGAAACGTGAACGAGTGCTCGCGGAGTCCATCTGCCGTAAATCGGAGAAATCGGCCCGCTGAAGGAGGATGTGGGGAGCCTGTCTGCCGATTGAGGACGATGATTTGCGGGAAAGTTGACGCCGAGACGAATGTCGGCGGTTGCTGAGTCAGCGGGTGCCTGAGGCATGGATGATGTAATCTTTCCATGATCCCAAGTTTTAAGTTACCTAGTCAGGTAGCCCTAGAGCAGGTTGAGCTGAGCACGTTGTTAGGCATAGGCAAAGGGTTATGTATTGGATAGATACACCATCCTCCGCATAGGGATTATACTTCAAAGACTAGCCAATTGCTACTAAGCATTGGAGAGTTCATAGCATCCATGGATATTGCCTTACCGCCAGAAGTATATAAACAAAACACTGAAATAAACAAAATTTAACTTATATTCAAGTGGAGATCACTGGATCGAAGAAGTAGTATCTAGAGTTCTTAAGTCATAGCCGATATTCCAATAGTCAAGCCTTATATATGTGGACTTCATGCCCCGCTTGCCATGGACCGAGGTCGATGTGGATTATTTGATTATATGATCTGCATTCAATACATTTACATATTTAACTCCTTAATCCTTTGTTTCTGCAAGAGTTATCATTCCAATATCTGATCCAAGATACGAGTGTATAAGAGTGCGTTGTCCTACAGTCCTCCTGCTACTATTAACCAAGACTAACAACTCAACCCAGGCATCAATCATGTCTGAGATCAACGCCACCGCAATTCTCGTTCCAAAGCCTGAGAAATTTGAAGAAGTTAGCACAGCCCCATACTCTTTGACAGTCTAATAATCTAACATGTCGTCATCCTCTAGGTATCTACTCTTGTAGCCGAAGTCATCAAACAGGTGGAAGAACATGAACCGGACACACTGCTTTACTACGCATTCCCAATCAAGGACAAGAATGAGATTGTGATCGTTGAGAGGTAAGTCAACCAGCCTGTATACCGTGGATAGGTCGTCTCTTGGTAGCTCCCCCGCATGGAGAAAGCAGATGTGCCTCGGTCCAAGTACCTTGCCGTCCAAGATTCTGATCCTCCAATATACAGGTATAAAAATCAAGTGGCGATCCAGACCCACGTCAAATCACCCTATTTCCGAACCTTCGCAGGGAAATTATCCACTTTATTGACGAAGCCGGCGGAGATCAGGGCAGGTGGATTCCTGAGTGGTTCGAGGGGCGTATCGCGACTGTAGTTGGTTGTATCTGATGTCTGGGGGTGGTTGGGTCGATATAAATAGGATGCATCAACTCCCAGAATGATTCGACATTGAGTCGGCCATGTCCCGTCACTCGTGATCGACTTGTCATGCGATTGGTGCATTAGTGGTGGCGGCCCAGCAGATATCGGGAGGTCTGTGAGATATTTAGGAGCAATTCGGCCCTATCAGACGAAGAACCGACGACGGGGGCATAGAGCAGGGTATTCACGACCATATATCCTCCGTACTTTGTATATTCTCGATTCTGATATTCTATTTAGACACCCTCAGTGTCAATATTTAGAAAATTAAGTGGAGACGGACTCTTTTTCTTCAGAAAAAGAATCTTGACCTTGGCTAGGGGAACTAGTCCAATCACTTTTCCCTTTTTTCCCCTTTCTGCCTCTTCTTCCTCTTCTTTCTCTCTATATATGTTTTGTATTGTTCTTTTGGTGAGTTCCAAATCTTCCTTCTGTCTCCACACCTCTCCCACCCCCTCTTTTCCCAAGCTCCAGCCTCCTAGCTTCTTCCCTTCGAGCTGTTCCCCCCCTGAAGCTCAAGCTGATATTCTGAAGATACCCTTGCCGTGTTGACATTGTGTCCTTCTACCTTATCGCTGCCATCCCCTTATCGCCCAGCCCCTGTTGCAATCTGCCTTGATCTGGCCTGATTCATACTTTTTTTTTTGCGACATGGCGTCGGGTCCGGCTACTCAGTCATTGAAGGTGAGCATCGGATCGGATCAGCGATGCGCGGCGTGAATTGACAGTCTATCTAGTGTGTGGTGACCGGTGATGGTGCAGTTGGCAAAGTTAGTATAATCCCCCGACACTATCCCTACTTATAACATTGCAATAGATGCTGACATCCATTCCTCCAGACATGTCTTTTGATCTCCTACACAACGAATGCATTCCCCGGTGAATACATCCCTACTGTGTTCGTACCCTCTGCCCCTCAATGCGAAACCTTGAATCCCGAACGGATATTGATTCCATAATAGCTTTGACAACTACACGGCCAGTGTTATGGTTGACGGCCGGCCGATCAGCCTGGGACTGTGGGATACTGCTGGACAAGAGGATTACGATCGCCTGAGACCGTTATCTTACCCGCAAACCGACGTCTTTTTGATCTGCTTCTCCATCGTCAGCCCGCCATCATTCGATAACGTCAAAGCGAAGGTACGAACGGGGACATCCCATACTCTTTCTAGTTTCGTGCGACTAACCGTTCCCCCGCTTCTAGTGGTTCCCTGAGATCGAACACCATGCCCCCAATGTCCCCATCATCCTCGTTGGTACCAAGCTCGATCTGAGAGACGACCGCGCCACTATTGAAGCCCTCCGCGCACGCAAGATGGAGACCGTCTCCTACGAACAAGCCCTAGCCGTCGCCAAGGAGATTCGCGCACATAAGTACCTTGAATGTTCGGCGCTGACACAACGCAACCTGAAGAGCGTGTTCGACGAAGCCATCCGGTGAGTCTTCATATCCTTTCCCGGACCGCTTGTGGATATTCGTTTTCTAACTGTCTACCACAGGGCCGTTCTCAATCCCCGTCCCACTACGAAATCCGGGAGGAAGGCAGTCAAATGCAATCTCTTGTAAAGCACGTTTGTTTGGCTTGACTCGTCTCCCCATGTTCTCGTATGCTACAATGAGTAATATAGTGTTAATACGGCGTCTGGGTAGTTAGAGGCCTTTTTTTTTAATTCCGCCGGCCGCCTCTCAGTGCTGTTTTGTGATGAAATCCATTGACCGTCTTTCTTGGCGATATTTTTGTCGTTGCCTCTCTCGGCTTGTTCATAGTCTGTCCCAATTCTATCGCGATGTTCTTGATTCCGAGATTATACCATGGTCGTTCTAAGTTATTATTTCATGTCATAAATGTCCACTCGGGCAATGTTTGGGAAGAAAGCACAGAAAAGAACATATGAATTGGTATCTTCAAAATCAAAACAATAGAGACATGAAGTAAGTACTTTTTGGAATACATAAGAAAAAAACCAGCCAAACCAGATGCTCCCGGGAATGCATGGCTATCAAAATGTCCAGCTGCCTGCAGATGCTCCGGACACCTTGCTGTACACTGTTCCAATCCCTCAACGAGTTGAGACCGTTCCAAATAAGCCACGACAGTGAACCAGCGACTTTTTTGATCTACATCCGGCCTCTGCGGCTAGGGTGCAGACCAGCCCACTGATCGTTGACAGCGCTGCCAGCGTTGTCGGCTGCGCCATCCAGGTTAGCAGCATTGGCACCAGAGCCGCCAGCCGGGGCAGCCTTCTTCTCGTGCTTCCTCTTGTCCTTCTGGATATCCTTAGCCTGGCGCTGGCGCTCCTCATTGAGCTTCTCGTTCTTGGCCTGGATCTTGGCATTGCGATGTTCGGACTTGGCGCCGCCGCCACCAGCACTAGAATTGAGGGTTAGTATGCGGCTATGACTGCAGTTGCTTGGAGAGCAATTATATTCTCGAATTGAGGGTAACTCACGTCAACTCGACGTTCATGCGTCGGGGTGGGTACTTTCCGTCGTCGAAGTTGGAGTGGTGGTACAACTTGAGACAGGTCTTCATGCGGTCGTAGTTGTCAAACTCGATGAATGCGAAACCGCGGCACTTCTTGGGGTCTTCTTTCTTGGTTGCGACGCGGATTGTGGCCGGGGGGTTCTTTTCAAAGTGCTTGCTCAAGGACTCATGGTTGGCGGAGTAGGGAAGGTTGCCTGTATATAGGAATATCCTTTGGTTAATTCTGCGTCTTTGGTTCGGGTAGTTCATCTGGATTGGAATCACTTACCGACAAAGCAGATGAAGCGGGAACTCTTCTGGGCTTGCTCGCCCTCCGCAGATTCAGCGGTAGGCTCTTCTTCGGTCTCAGCAGCGGGCTCGGTCTTCTCCTTCTTCTGCTTTTTCTCCTTCTTGTCCTTCTTCTTGTCTTTCTTCTCCTTCTTATCGCTGTCCGCCTTCTCGGCGGGGATCACGTCAATATCCATAGCGTCCTCGGAGGGAGCAGCAGGCTCGGCGTCGGTCTCCTCGGCCTTGCGCTTCTCCTTCTTCTCGGACTTTTCCTTCTTATCGGACTTCTCCTTCTTGTCAGACTTGTCCTTCTTCTCAGACTTATCTTTCTTCTCAGATTTGTCCTTCTTGTCCTTCTTTTCTTTCTTCTCCTTCACCTCTTCCTGTGCCGGAACAGCAGTTTCAGCGGGAGCGACAACCTCGGACTCCTCTTGCGACTTGCGCTTTTCCTTCTTTTCCTTCTTGTCTTTTTTGTCCTTCTTCTCCTTCTTCATCTTCTTGCCCTCGGGCTCGACGACCTCATCCTGCACGAGTTTGCGCTTATCACCCATTGTGTTTGTTTGGAGTATATATTGTGATGAAAAGAGTCAATGATAGGATGCGAAAGCAATCGGGACGAATGAAAGTTCGGGTAATTTGGGAAAACAAGAAAAAGAGGTGGAGAACTTTGCAGCGCAACGAGACTCAAGCTCCAAAAAAAAAGTCGGGCGGAGAGAAAAGTGAAATTTATTTTTGCCGTGTCTCGGAAGGCGGTCAAGGCGCTTGCTGATAAGCCCTTGATTTTATAGTTCGCAATTTATCTACTTACTACAAGCAATTGTTTGAATACGATCATTCAAGTGTGCATTTACTCGAATCATATACTAGTATAAAGTTCGTGACCAGCGCTCTGTTAGATCAGAACACCAAGATCTTCACACCCTTCTTCACCCCATAGCGCTCACGCAGTTCCGGCCGAGTAAGCAGCTTCAACAGCGGCATATGCGTGTCCTTCATGTCAAAGATGCCTCTTTGCTTCTGGTCAATGTGCGATCCATCAATGACAATGCGCTCCAGTTCCTCCAGGTTGAGAGTTCCTAGAAGATATTATCAGCATCTGTATATGTAACGAAGTGAGCTATCTACAGATAGCAAGCAAGAAAACTCACCAGACTCGATCAAATCTGAGATTCTGGTTGGGGTTCCAGCCCCGATACCAGACCGAGCACGTTGAAGGAACTGCTTCGCTTCCTCCAACTTGATGTGTTTCGCGAACAGCTTTCCTACAATGCTATCCTTGGTTTGGAAAGAGCGCAGTGCCCTATTAACCCCAATTGTCAGTCCCGGCTTCGATTCATTCCAGAAAAAAAGACTAAAAGTTGTCCACTTACCGTACAACATCAGCGGCTCGCATAGCAGCACCCGAAATAACTAGTGTATGAGGGGTGCCGTTCTTCTCGGACGACTTTGACAGGTCGGCACCTTTACTGAACGATTTGAGGAATTCGGGGAGTTGCTCGAGCTTTCGGCTGGAGGTGAAGGAAGAGGTATCGAGGAATGCGGAATCTATAGATTGGTTAATGTCTAGAACACTCCTCGACCTTGGCCGACAGAACAAGAGGAAGTATACATACCTGGAATCGAAAGATCACTCAGTTCAACAGCAGAAAGCTCTTTTTCGTGTCTTTTGGCTTTCTGCGCAAAGTGATCGCCCAACAACCGGCCGTCCATCTTGCCAATCGACTCGTCAATGCCGTCTTTGCGTGTTGACTGATGCTCATCGTGTTCCGCCTGCTTCTTTTTGTTCTTGTTCTTCTTCTGCTTCTTCTTGCTTGACCCCTCTGCGGGTGTGCCTGCTTCGGGCTTTTCTTGCTTGAGAGCAGCGTCGTCGGCTTGTCTCTTGCGCTTGTTTTGGAGCTTATTGGAAAGTCCTTGGGGGGCGTTTGTGTCAACCATTGTAAGAATAGCCAGTATGAACTCGGCAACAAAATCTTCCGAGTATTTTGAGCTTCAATTAGTAAATGCAAGTCTCGAAGACTTCATTGCGCAAAAAAAAAAGCCGGCTGATTCAGCCAATCTTATCGATAAGAAAGGGCCAATCATGCACTGGCCCGCAATTGTTGTTTCTAGACGCGACAAACATCGACATCCTGTAATTCACCGTTTGCCCAGCTGATCTGGGATTTTATTGTGGTGGGGATCCCTTATGTGGTCTATTATATTGTGCGTGATATAGTTGCACCTATCTTGCAGAAAAAAACAAGCCATGTCAACTTCTACACCCAACGCGCGTGGCCGTCGGTCACCATTTGGGACCGCTACCCCATCTGGGGAAACAACATTGACCGGAGTCAGTGCTACCCATCACCATTTGAGAGGCTATAAATTGATAACCGTATTATCTCCCTACAGCTTCAACGCCTTCCTATCCATACCCGATACCCTCTTACGCCAAGTCGACTTGTCACCGCAACCACCCCAGGCACCCAACGGTCCGCCTCTCGAGATACACCACGCCCTCGAGGCGTGGGTGCTCCAGCAACGCCACATGTAATCCGTGCCCGGCAACAACGAGCGGCGAATACCCCTGGTCGGGATCGCCGACGAAGCGGCAGAGTGCAGCGGGAGACTACATTCGATATTCTCAGAAACCTGGGCAAAGGTAAGAACTTCGCCACGTATCATTCGACATGAGAACTGAACTAAAATACTTGGGTTGTCCTAGCGCTCGCTCCTGTATCTCAACCTATCCGATCCTCGCCGCAGGAGAAGCCAGAGCCTATAGAGGAGCCAATTGATGAATTTGAACAGCTTGATAATGAGCCGGAAATCGAGCGACCACGGTTATCATTGCCTATTCAAGAGTCTGAGGAAGAAGGCGATGAAGTCAGTCCTGAAATGAACCCCCCGAGGATGTCTCTCGCCTTCGCAGAGGAGGATATGGATATGACTTACCGGTCTGTCGAATACCCTCGCGACGCTAGCGTCAGAGACCGGGACCGTTTATCTATGATGAGCCGAGCTACCGGAAGAATCAGTGGAGATTTCGACGAGACGAGATTAGAGAGCGATGATGCAGACGAAACTGGTATTGTGGGCGAGGATGATGAGGCAGAGGATACAATGATGAGTGGGGGCGACTTTGATCGAGGGTAAGAATACAAGAGTTGGATTTTCTATGTTACAAATAATGGCTAATATGACAAATAGGGGAGAGACGGAAGACCTGGGTCGCTTCCACTTTGATCTTAACTTTCCATCTCCTGCAGCTGCCCCGCTTGAATATCCCGCTGACGAAGATATGAACGATATGGAGGGTTTCGAACTGTCCACCGCGGAGCAACCCCAAGCTCCATCAGACGATGATGATGACGATGTTGGAGGTGATTTTGGGTTTGGACTCGAGTTCCCACCCGCAGCATCCCCCAGTGAGAGCCCCGGCATCGTTGGAGGTGGATTGCGAGATGAAGCTATCCCAGCCCAGGGAAAGCAAAAGAAGATTTCACGACATGGAATTCCTGTCCCAAACTTGCCTGCAGGTGTGGTAAAAAAGCTAGCGACTCGCTTCGCGCGTTCGGGGGCTGGATCAAAGGCAAAAATCAACAAGGCCACACTGGCCGCCATCGAGCAAGCGTCCTCTTGGTACTTTGAGCAAGCAAGCCAAGATTTGGCTGCGTATTCAAAGCATGCGGGACGGAAGACCATTGATGAGAGCGATGTCACCACATTGCTGAGGAGGTCAGTTTCAATGGAAGCCAACCAGCGCATGGGAGTAATTGCTGACTTGTTCCAGGCAACGCCATATTAACAAAACGACCACAGTGTTTTCCCTTGCCCAGAAGCATTTACCCAAAGAACTTCAGCAAGACATGAGATTGTCCATGCCTCCATGAATAACAAATTTCCCATGAAAAGTAACGCTTTCAACGCCAATGAATTATGCTAAGGTAAAGCTGGAATCCCACTAGATTACCAGTTTCGGTTCTGGCGAACTCGGCGCAGTGCCTCGTTGGGGTTCTTCCGTACAACCATCCACATCATGATGGTCGTGGCCAAAGACAGGCCATACCTGCAAAGTATGAGCGACAATCTCGAATGGGAGGGAAAAGCACAACGGATCTAACTTACCAGGTGAAGATGTATTGAGAATGGTTGTTTCTCAAATTCACCTCCGCGGCGCGGCCAATCGGGATACCCTTAGCCTCGCGATCACAAGACTCGAGGAAGTCAGGAACTAGAAACGCAAATCAATGTTAGCCATGAATGAGCAAGATTATTCAATATAGGCTCATTACCCATTGTCTGCTCAATCCAAACAGGCTGGCTCCCGCTCTTCTCTGCCATCTGATTGATATCCGGGAAGTAGAACTTGCCCTCGTCCGGCTTGTTATCCGGCGTGAACATGTTTTTCTTCCATGGCTCTCGTAGTAAACCTTCCACGGTCACCTCTCCATCCGGTACACCCAAAGGTCGGTCCTTTTGGTCCTTCAATTTCCTTGAGATCCAACCCCGGTTCACAAGTACGGTGCTCTGTCCCTCTCGCTCGAGGGGAGTCACTACGATGAACCCGTCCTCTCCTTCGTTCATGCGGGGGCCAACCAGCATTTCTTTGTCATGACGGAAATGGCCGGTAGCGTACACGCGGCGGTAGTCGAACTCTGAAATGGCATCCGGGTCGACTCGCGGCGGCAGTGGCAGAGGAGGTTTCACGAGACGGTCCTCGAATTTGGCCATTAATTTGGTTTTCCAGCCCAAACGCTGTACCTGCCATGTTCCCAGGATAAATGAGATTATAGGGATCAGAGCTATAGTGTAGAACAATACGTTAGTAATTATCTCTAAATATAGCATTTCCGAGGATATGTAGCATTGAACATTAACATACCCAAGATGATCAGACCAGGTCCATGTTTCTTATTAACACGCACAAGCCGCGCCGGGTGGTCTACAATATTCAGACCATCGGCCAGCTGGCGTGATTGAGAGATATGGCGGAATTGGTGTAGGCGGTATTTGGCGCAGAGGGAATTGATCTTGGATGGTACACGAGGGTTTCGAAGAGCGCGAGTCGGAGGCGTCCAGGCCCTCGCGGATGTCTTCTGCAAAGCAGAGAAGATTGGCCGCATGTTGACAGTTTAGAAACGCGAAGAATGCACTCTTAATTGACGTTCGGATGGGGTTGGAGTTGTCGTTTCTGCAAATGCGACGGCAGTTGGGAATTTCGGGATCGGTGACCGCCCAGGCTTCTCCTATCGACAACATTGTATACTTGTCACTCCGCACTGGCGCTTAGTCTTCACGGAATGCGATTATGACGATTTTCTACATCGGAGGTCTTCAGGAGGGAATTAGTGCTGCAGTAAGAGATGACAAAGTGGTTACTTGTTTTGTTAGAGGTCGCTGAATGTTCTCCCCGCATCGAATGACATGTTGCTGATCTTGGGACTTGAACATATAGATGACGAGGAGTTGAGCTCTGAATGGGAGGAGGACTATTTTGGTGATGCTGAGGTATATATACTCACTAAAATTGAATCTCGAACGGTATCTGATTCTCTACAGGTCGTACAAGCACTCCATGCCAACTCGATTGTATTGCGCTTGACAGCGGGTTCACAGGAAGCTGAACTCCTGGCCTCTTTCTCTCCGATCCAGAAGGTCCCGAGTGTTATCGTTATCAAGTGCGTTCAACCGTCCAAGGCCTTGTGGCAAGTCGATATTAGTTTGCTGACCGCGTTCTAGCAATGGCAAGAATCATTATATCGAGCCAGATATCACGAAGGATGACTTCCGCACTCGATTGATTACAGCTTTGAAAAAGGAACAGACAATTCGTCCTACACAGCAAGTACAAGGTAATGGTACACCTACAGCTTCAACAAATAATACGACGGTGTCAGTCGTGCCACAACCCCAGCGTGAGGCGCCATCCAATGCCAGCAATTCCACACAATCCGCAAAGAAAGCAAGTGAAATTACAATAAAGAAACAATCACCGATTGGACAAGTACCAAAGAAAGCTGCGGAACCTGCAAAGTCAACAAGCTCTACATCTCAAACATCATCCAAAGAAGCCAGCAATAAAGACTACAAAGGCAAAGCGCCGATGGGGTCTAAGAATCCCACTGCCAAAGGTGTCGTAAAGAGTGAACACCAAGAGCCAAAGACTATAGTTTCTCGGGGACCTCCAACCGAGTACCGGCTACAAGTGCGCCTGTTCGATGGAAGCTCCGTGCGGTCTAGCTTCGCACCCACCCAGAGCATCCGAAATGATGTACGAGCTTGGCTTGATGAAAAGATGGAAGGCGACAACCGACCCTACAACCTCAAACACATCTTAACCCCTTTCCCTAGCGAAACTCTTTCCGTCGCCCAAGAATCGCAAACCCTCCGCGACTTAAATCTCGGTTCCACTGCGAACCTCGTCATGATTCCTGTATCAACATATACGGAAGCCTATTCGGCAGCGGGTAGCTTGCCCGCCCGTAGTGTCTCTGCCATCTACAACTTGGCCTCTTCTGCTGCCAACACCGCAACGGGTTTTGTGGGTTCATTCCTTGGATATGGCCCAACGGCACCAGCAAGCGGTGCAACCACCTCTTCGGCCTCTTCGGCTACTGGCAACTCTCAGCGTCCTGGGACTACGGGACCCAATATTCGGACGCTGAGAGACCAGCAAGATGGACGTGGGGATAACCAGCTCTACAATGGGAACCAGGTATGTGATTATGCGAGATGAGAATATCTTGTCCGGGATTGGCTAATGTCTTTCTCAGTTGAATTTCGAGCCACGGAATAACGAGGATGACAAGGATAAATGAGTCCCAGCGGTATTACTTCGGTGTTCTTGCATTATTTATCTATGGCGTTGATAGATCTGATTAGCTCACCAGCCTCTCTATTTAACTATGACACTGCTATTATTCACATTTTGGTTACTGCAAAGTTGGCAGTCACAATAAGTGATCTTTTCCATGAAGCCTTTACTGGTCCTTTCCATCGTATTTGGTTTCTGATAGAGGTCCAAACAATCATCAGAGAACTACAAATATTGGAGTTCGTTAAATTCATGCATTCGAATTCTTGATTCAGTAGTCAGGTATATTGATCCCTTTATCGAGGAGAGGTGGTATAAAGTACAAAGAGGGGATATGGAAATGGCTATGCAAAAGAAAGATTGGCTCGGCTATGGAACAAGCCCATAAATCTGTGAACCCCATCACTTATTACGAAGAATGGTATCTGTCTTTCTGATCAAAAAGGGTCAAATTGGTATCAACCCCTTAGTAAGGCTTAGCGGCAGCCTGGCAAGCTTTCTGTGGTACGATTAGTATGTATTAAAAATGCAAAAAAAAAAAAAAACCGAAGTGTAAACATACCAGCTGGTCAAGGTACCAACCGCAGATGCTCAAGTTACCCTGGTTCTCATCCATGCAAGTGCGGAAGTTGCGGACGTCAACCTCACAAGCAGGGTTCTCGTACGAGGTCTGGGCAGCATTGCTCTGGTAGAGGCCGCTGTCCATACCCTGGAACTCAGAAGGGGCAGGAGCCTGCTGGGCCTCAGCGGGGGCGCTGGAGCCGCCGCCGAAGAAGCCACCGATGGCGTGGCCGATAGAGGAGCCGACGGCAACACCACTGCATCGGAATAAACCGTTAGCACATATTTCGGGAGAGTCGAATCCCAACCCGGGTCTTGTCGGGGAATGGATCGCAAAGCCGAATCTGGAACTTACGCTGCGGTCGAGGCCATCTGGCCGAAAAGTCCAGGGCCGGCGCTCTGCTGCTGCATGGGAGGAGCCTGGGCCTGAGGAGGTTGAGCGGCGGTCGAGTGAGGCTGCGACTGCTGCTGCGAAGGACCAGCCGCGGGCCGAGCAGGAGCGGCGGTAGGACGACGGGGAGCGCTGCGCGCAGGGGCGGGAGCAGAACGACGTTGACGAGCCATTTTGTTGTGTGTGGGTTTTTTTGGAGGAATTAGAAAGGGAGGTGAAGATATATGCAAGTTGGGATAAGTATACGGACTAGTGGAGAAAGAAGAAGCTAGAAGATGAGTAAGTTCGGCCATTGAGGCAAACTCCGATGCAAACCGTGGAGTTTTCTGGACGTTGATTGGCTGACTTCGGTCACGTGGATCGGACATCACGGTGCCGATTGCCCGGAGCGGAGTCAGCAACGGGGATACTACGGGAATTACTAGCATGTGCTATTAAAAGAGCAAATTATGTCATAGGAAGGACCAGTCGGTTTCATCTGCTTGTTTGTGCATAGAGTATATCGCGGAGCTTGTTGCAGCTCCCATTCCGAAAGGGTATCTTGATTCATGGAGACATACAAGTCTCGTACATAGTAAACAGAGCCACTCATTGTGGTCTCAAAATGGCCGAGACATCCATCTGAAGGAAGCTCATGGCCGGGCATGCTTGGCAAATCGATTGCTAGATTCGACAATGCATAACGTGTCGACAGAATTCCGGTAGTGGTGAGGCATAGCCAATAATATGCTTTGGGAATGCCCGGCAGTCCGTTCTTAGGGTTCGAGGCGCAAGCCGGTCCGTACTGAATTCTCACTAAGATCGGGGTGCAATGCACTGCACTCATTGCGCTTTTCGGGCCTTCCGAGCCTCCTCCTTCTTCAGCCGTCGCTCCTTCTTCTTTTCTTTCATTGCTGCCGTGTTGATTTTCCTCTCCTTCTTTGCCTTGCTGTCTTCCAATTTGTGTTCTCCTTTGGATTTCTTTTGGCTATCCTTCTCGGTCTTTTCGGTGTGGTTTGTGTCAACCCGGGGCTCTGCTGCTGTTGCAAGGTCGACGCCCCCTTCAGAATCGTCATCGTCAGAATCGGGTTGCCCGTTCGTCGCCTCAATGCTCTTGAGGGCAAACATGGCTGCTTTGAGCTGGGCACGGGCTCGCTCTTTAGCCTGCTTTTCTGCCCGTTCTAAGTCATACTTATCATTGCCAGCCTGTGAAAATTTGATTAATCGCCATTCTATACAATATAATAGGTTAGTACTTACAAGGCCGTGTTTGATGAATCTGCTCGCAGCTCCCTTATCAAGGGTCATGGGGCGTTCCTCAGGCTCGGTCTCCAGTGCCTTGATCTTTTCAAAGTACTGCTTCACACGAGTCAGTTCCCGGAACACTGGGTGTTGCTTCGCATCCACGCCATGAAGCCGCAGATAAGCTGTCAAATTTCATCAGTAAGAGTAAAATTGTAAAATTTGTAGTGTGACGTACAGAAGATTAACGATTCTAGTGTGTAGGTGATCAACACGTGAAGTTTTGCTTTGTCCATAACAGGCAATTTGTTTGAGTTTTTGAGAAGTGTGCTGGTCAAAAGAGGCTGGAGAACAGCCTCCAAGTCATCGACATTATCATCCAGCTGCTCAAGCAGCGGTAGTAGGTCCGTTGGATCCATGACAGTGAGATGTGATGTAGATGAGAAATTGCTTGATCTAAAAAAAATAGGACGGATTCAACTGGGCGGTGAGGGGAGCGGTGTGGATTCTGGACCGATCATCATCTGCGCAACTAAGATCGCTGAGAACTCGTGCATATCCAACAATTGGTTGATTGTTACGAGATAGGCCTTGGTGGACATACCAGTGGCTGGGCTCTTGCCTATTTGACAATATCCATGACATAAGGATCGATACCTCACCAAACCCATCGCTCTAACCTCCTCCCCGTCGACAAACACATACTTGCAACTCAATCGGATATCCCGGGGAGTTTTTCCTCAACACTCTCATAATGCAGTCGACATTTCGGTCTCGAACTTTGTGGCGAACCGGCATTCTTGGTACATGTGTTCGGTCCCGGTTCCAGGTCTATGGTGTGCCAAACACACGATTTATCTCAACATGGAAGGAAGAGTTGCATGAGGTCAACCAGGATACGAAAGCCCCTCTATCAGGACGAGTTCACATCCTCGGAATGGGTAATCTAGGTTGCTTCTTTGCTCATTCTTTAGCCACGAGACGGTCACCGCCGCCCATCACAATATGCTTGCACAATGACTATCTCTACCAGGCCTTTGTCCGGAAAAGGGGACAAATTTCTGTCAGCACACATGGCCTTGACGATGTCAGAACGGGATTTGATGTTGAAACGGTGGACGAAGAAGGCAGATGGTATACAATGCCGCCTGTTGACAACCGGCCCTCGCCATTCAATCCCCAGTCTCCGCCGGATAGTGGTCCTATCGAGTGTCTAATTATTTGCACCAAGGCGCATCACACGGAGCTTGCCATTAAAGATATCAGTCACCGCTTGACTAAAGATTCGACCATTTGTCTTGTTCATAATGGCATGGGTGTGCTCGATTCTATCAATCAAAATGTTTTCCCCGATCCCAACAATCGACCACATTACATCCAGGCAGTCTTCAGCCATGGTCTGGGTAGGAACGACTCGTTCAAGATTTCGCATTTGGGAGTTGGGACCACAATCCTTAGCCCAGTTGGAGATCCAAGCATCCCTCCCACAAACCCGGAAGCTGACCAGACGTGGGCGCCGTCCACAAAATATCTTCTGCGCCTCTTGACTCTCACTCCGCCATTGGTCGCTGTGGCTGATACACCGGCAGGTCTGTTACAATACCAACTTGAAAAATTGGCAGTGAACTGCGTCATCAATCCCCTGACTGCACTGAGTGACTGTACCAATGGCGAGATCTTGTACTCGTTCAGCTTTACCCGTGTCATGCGGCTGCTACTCTTTGAGATCTCCGCCGTGATTTGTGCTCTTCCTGAATTACAAGGTATCCCGGGCATCGAAGATCGCTTCTCCCCAGAACGCCTGCGTCGTTTGGTCGTGAACATCGCGAGCAACACGGCCAAGAATCACAGTTCAATGCAGCAAGATATCAACCAAAGGAGATTGACAGAAATTGAATACTTCAACGGATGGATTGTACGTCGCGGTGAAGAACTGGGTATCAAATGCGCACTCAACTACATGATCAAGCATTTAGTCGCTGCCAAAGCAGCTACCCATCGGAGCCGAGAAGCTGGCGCGATTCCCCTCGATCTCGACAATGTCATCTCTACCAACGAACCTCCCATTTAACTGCTCCGGACTGCCTTCTTCTGTCAAGTCCTTACTCTACCTTGGCTCCTTGTCATATCGCTGTGTGTGAGCAGGTCAAAGGATTTAACAACAATCTAAATTATTTGCGGGGACTCTATACAGAGACAGTTTTGGCCGCATGATCGCAGAGCTCTTTGATCTGCTTCAACCGTCTCAGCAGCATCTCCGCTTTTGAACGATGTGCTTGCACTGTGGTGTCGAGTTCCATGGTCTTCTGCAGCGCAGTTATAGTTGCATCTGCCTCTGCCGCATATGTCTGAATCCACCTCTTGATTGTGGCCTCGGATCGGCTCTCGTCCAAACCCTCCGATTGGCCTTCAAGAACATGGTTCCGCCAATCCTTCTCCTTCATATAACTCAGACATGCAGCGACCTCTGTGCGGTAACAGGGTCCGTGTGGAGTGACTTGGTAGTTACTAGCGCTGTGTCAGTGGAGGACTGTATATATTGCGTAGAGAATGCGCATTGTCATGTAAAATATCAATCAAACCACATACCCATGATACTGATTCAGCCACAACTCCTCTTGCTGCTCAGCAGTTTGAATGTCCCGGAAAACAATATCATCAAGATAGATCGAATCTGCTTCATTCACATCGAGGAAGAAGCCATCTATAGAAAGGGGAGGGATGAAGTCAGCACGCCGAAGGAAAAAGAATAACAACACTTTCTCACATTCTGCTAGTAAAGTATCATTCGGATGACTACCATAGTTCATGAACACTTCCTCGCCCTCCTCATAATCTTTCGTAGCGCGAAATTCATATACACTCTCATCGAATCTGACATCCCGCTGTTTCCATCTAGTGTTAGCTTTATCAGTAGTATGGAATTCAGACGAAGTACGTACAGCAACATCCGCATGATTGAAGTAATCAGCAAATGGCACCAGCCCCATCGCATCATTAGGGTCTTCCGGCGTTTCCTGGCCCTCTCCAATCCAATAGAAGCTCCTCGTATTCACGATCAGCCAGTTGTAGGAGAATGTCTCCCAGTTGGTCTCCGGGAAAACAGAAATGACGTCCGTCCATGCTTTGCGCAGGCGCTGGGCCTGCTGCGAAAGAATGTTCTGGTGATCTGAGCTGTATTTCCTCGTTTTATGGCCTGGCTGTAGAGTATTCCAGAGACCTGAAATGGACGGCGGGAGAAGACTTGGCTGCTTCGAGTCTGTCGAGGAGTCGTCCTTGCTGTTGGGTAACTGCGGTCCTCCCAGGACGGTTGGCCAGAGGATCGGCATGCTGTCTTCGAAGTCTTTTCGGCTGGGCCATGAATTGCGCCATTGGTCGTATTTTGATAGTTCATCTGGTGCAGCGTGTGTGAGATACGCTGCTAGAAGTGCTTGTACGGCAATGTCTTCTGGGAGTTTGTCGATAAAGGCGGAAGGGATATCTTCGGCCCTGAGCATCAACTGTGTCGGCACTTGGAGGACAATTTCTCCTTTCTAAACATATACTTAGTGAGCAAATTTCAAATGAGAAGTAGATATAGATTCGAAGGCTCATAGTCATACTTTAATGTTCCGAGTGGCCATCATTCCCAACCCACGTCCTTGAAACCGGGCTGGGGTCACCGAGTTGATATCTATGCCATTGGAGATTGCCCATTCAGTGAAGGCCTCATGCTCTTCTCCGGGCCACCATTCTGGCTTCATATTGGCTTCTTGGCAGATTTTGAGATGCTTCCTCCAGTCAGCATATACTACAAGACAGGGATTGAGTTGGAGAGATATACAATTGTTAGAACACACCTTCAGAGTAGTCTGTTCTATTATCTCCTGTTCCTTCAAACCAATAGCCTAGAAAGAATATTTAGTAGTCTCAATGGGCGTCGATGTGTGTCTGAAATTCACTCTACACTGTGGAGCAGAAGGTTATCGATAAAGGCGTTATCGCGAACTACGGCAGGGCACGACGACCACTCGTGCCGTCCCTGCCGATCTGATAATCGTACCACTTCGGCTTTCACTTCAGCTTTCGTCCCAGACGATGCACAAGTTCCTTTAGCTTTGGGATTCATAATGTCAGTACTTGGGAGGCGTGGAGCAATTGAGCTTCGAGCCTTGGCTACCAGCCCAAATCTATCAGCTGCAAGCACTTTACGGCCCTTTTCCGTGCTGAACCGCCCACCACCAAACTACCCCGGCCATGTCCCATTGACCACTATTGAACGCGGTGCTCTTGCTATAGGCTCGGCAATTGGATCCCTTATCAACCCTAGAAGAGCGGGTGCGTGGATATAATTTCCTACATAACTGGAATAGAATCTTGGATCACGATCTAATATGGTACTCTATAGATCTCATTGCGGCCTTGGGCGAAGCCACCGCCACACCATTCTTCATATATCGACTACGCGATGCTATGCTCTCAGATCCAACAGGGCGCCGCATTCTCCGCGATCGTCCCCGCATCACCTCCGAGACCCTCAAAATGACCTATCTCCGCACCCTCCCCGAGAACTCCGTCGGCCGGACATACGCTAAATGGCTAGATCGCGAGGGCGTATCCCCCGACACCCGAGATAACGTCCAGTATATCGACAATGAAGAATGTGCATACGTCATGCAGCGATACCGCGAGTGCCATGACTTCTACCACGCAGTGACGGGTCTACCTATTTTTGTAGAGGGCGAGCTCGCTCTCAAGGCGCTGGAGTTCTTGAATACACTTTTGCCGATGACGGGGCTGAGTCTATTTGCCTTTGTACGGATGAAGCCCGCCGAGAAAGAGCGGTTCCTCTCGTTACATCTCCCGTGGGCTATTCGCAGTGGGCTGGGGAGTAAGGAGCTTATCAATGTTTATTGGGAGGAGGTGTTGGAGAAGGATGTGGACGAGCTTAGAGCTGAGCTGAATATTGAGCGTCCGCCGGATCTAAGAGAGATTCGGAAGATGATTCGGCAGCAGCAGAAGCGGGAAAAAGAGAGACAGCAGCAGGCTTCGAACTGAGCTGGGTTGCGTCCTGTCGGGGCGATGAAATCTCGAATATAGGGAGAGATGTATGATTATTGAATCGTTGTAGACCATATCACCGATGCGCAGATGCGCAAATGCGAGGCTGATTGCCTTGAATTCAACCCAGCTGCAAATGTAGAAGAAAGGACCATAACGCCTGGAGTAGATTTTCCCAGTGGCCACGAGCGGATAGCAAGAGAGGTATCCGAATGCAATACACAAAAGGGCCATAGGCACAAGTGATCATCGATCACATTTTATGCGACCCTTACAGGTCCAAGAGATCATCATCGTCATCCCATCCACCTTTGCGGCGAGAAATGACAATTTTGTGCTCCTCCTCTTCTTTTCGCTGGTTCTCTGCAACAGCCCCTAG